ACAAATAACTATACTTTCATTTAATGCTTATTTCAGCTGCTGAAATGGTTTATGACCTAATCTCTTTGTGTAATTTTGTCAATTCATTCTGTTTTGTTTTGTTGATTATGAGGCATTTGGGGCTGTAATATTTGTCAGCCTTTTTGCAGCATTAGGATCTGGCCCAACTTTCGGCCAGCAATAAATATTCTACCACAAAAGTAGAGTTCTTTGAGCTCAGTGTTCAGTTCTCTGAAATTTTTCTTATTATTCACAGACATCTTCATAATGCTTTTGACTTTTTAGGAAACTAACTTTTTTTTCAGAAAAGGTTTTCCACTTCGTTTTTGGTTTAATGCTTTGAACCACATCCATATACTTTTCTAATGTGCAAAACAAGTGAGTTTCTAAGAACACATTTCTTGTATCTAAGGACATCTCTGTATTGAACTACACATGCAATGCTACATATGAAATAGTTCTGTATATTATATTCTTCTATGCATTTGTGGTTGGTTGACTAGCAGCTGTATTGGTTGGCCAGCAGCTAAACACCACACAGTTCTTTGTTGACAGGGGCTGCTCCCTTGCCCCAGGAGGACTGGGAAAAGAACAGAATGAGCAAAAGTGAGAAAACCTGTGTACTTGTGTGTTGGTACGGACAGTTTAATGAAGGAAAAACAGGAGAATAAATCCCCCAAGGAACGTAGATCAATACCTAGCCAGTCTCTGAGCAGACAAATCACCATCTCCCTTAGATTTTATTGTTACGTGGTGTATGTGGGAAATGCCCATTTGGTCATTTGGGACCAGTTGTCCATCCCAGCTGCGTTCCCTCCCTACATTTTCTGCATCCCCAGCCCACTTGCTGAGGTGACAGTATGAGAAACAGGAGACCCTGACACTGTGCCAGTGCTACTTAGCAATGGCTGGTATGTTAGCAGCACTGATTTAGTTACAAATCCCAAACACTGCACCTTAGAAGCTGTTGAAAGACAATTAACTACATCTCCATTTGTGCTGGAGGAAGCCAGCAGGAAAAATACTGGTCTGGTTTAACAGAGACCTTAGGCTCGAACTTGTGACAAAAAGTTCGAGTGTAGCATCTCTGGAAAGATGAACAGGTAATTTTGGGGGAAATACAAAGATGTTGTCAAGTATGTGGGGAGAAAATTAGAAGGGCCAAAGCTAAACTGAACCTTGATTTGGCCACTGTGGTTGAAGACTAGGTGATGCTGAAGGTCTCTTCCAACTTTGATGATTCTGTGATCTCAGTCAGATGCAGCACACTCTTATTACTATAGTACAAAACACAGTAAAGCTTTAAATTATCCATGACTCATGAGCCATGGCCTCTGACATGAGATCTGCACCAGTTCAGGACTGAAATCTGGCTATATATAGGTACAGTGCTAGCTAGTGTCAGAAATTGTCTTGGGACCATTAAGTTTTATTATGCTACAAACAATAATAGTATACAAATTAACATGGTAATTACAGGAAAAATTTTTGGCCTTGCCTTGGTCATACAACATTACTTAAGGCCATTGATCAAGTTGTGTTAATTCCAGGATCAACGAGTGTCAGTGTGAGTGTCACTGTTTTGGGATGCGAAGGCCTTATTAATAGTGTGCTGTCAGGGTGTTTGTGCCACCAAGGCTTCTTTGAGTGTTTAATTAAATATGACCTTCTAATTGAAAGAAGACCTTTGTCTTTATACATCTCAAAACTGGCAAAAGATGCAGTGCTAAGAAGTGATTACATGCTGAGGCCATATTTGAAAACAATATATTCTTAAGAATGAGTATTTGAGGAAGTGAAAATAAAGTAAAAAGGTTTGTAATGGAGATATCTCAGAATTATTTGTAACCCAACATCTGTAATGTTTATTATAGGAAATATATGGAGTTGGTTGGTAACTCAACAATTGTAATGATTAAAAAGGACTAGGAATCTTAAGGTAATTTTGTTAGAATTTTAAGCTTCTTTTTTTCTTGTCAGATCAGGAATAGTTGCACTGGTCTGACAAGAAATGGTATAGATTCGTTTCAGGAATTAATCAAGAATTCCTATTCTAGTTGGCTGGTAGCAGCAAAGTGTGTCCCGCAGGACTAACTCTGATAGTAACATCTGAGTTAGGAAAATGGCTTTCCTAACAAAATATCCTATACATTTGATGGCAAAAGAAAAAAAAACAAAGATAAAATCTCAAATCCTAGTGTTACTGGTACTAATAAAGGCATTGTTACAAATCAGTGTAGTAAAGAAGTCATGTGCTGCACTGATTTCATTTTAGGTACCTTGCATCACCTATGTATGCTTATTAGTTTAAAAATAAACAATTTTGTAATACACAGAGGGAAATGTTTTCGTTCAAAATCCTACACCTAGCTCCAGAATGCATTGGATCAAATTCTTAATCACAGAACAATGTTGTACTGCCTTCAGTACACTCATCAGCAAAACCTGGGTTGCTTAACTCTTGAGTCTGTACTTTTGAGTTTGGAAATGGGTCTTTCAGTTTCTAAAAGCTGTGTGGCTTGAGACTGAACATATCTGTATTGGTGCATGAACTGACATATGAATTAAATCACTAATAAGTAAACAATTTAGCACATGAATACATTAGCATATGAAGGTTGAGAAAATAACAGAAGAAAAAGCAACTTAAAATCATAGGAAAACTATAAATTTCAAGGCACTTATTTTGTGATAAAATTTATATCAAAACATTATATCAATAACATGAAGGAGGGAGGTTCAAAAATAGCTAGTCTCTCAGAGTCCAGTTTTAAAGTCCATAAAGTAGCCTTATTTTTCACATATGCTTTGTGCTTTGCATATGCTTTAGTGTATTTGAACTGCTCAAGGGTAAGAGAAATTGAAATGCAAGTCCTCCATATGAATGATTTGCTGTGATTATATATAAAGTATATACTTGCATATTAAAATCTATTTGTTGTAATTTTCTCTTTCTAAGATTTTTGTTTAAACTTGGTTTTTCTTTTTTCTTTTCTTAATTTTTTTTTCAATTTTTTATTTCTTTTTTAAAAATTGATGCTATAAATTCTTCCATGTCTTTCTGATACCTTTCTTTCTGGCACCTTCATTTCTGGAACCATGGGCTAAAAGCCAATCACACTGAAGTTGCAGTTTCTGAGTTCCACTGTTGCTATCAGCTTGTTCATTCATCATTAACTTCTTTTGGAATTTGGATACACCAATAACATTTATGTACTAATGTCAAATGGCTGTTGCCTGGCAATGTTTCTGTGTTTTCTAAGGCATTCGAACAAATGTTTAACATTGTTTATTATCATGGGGTTTTTTGTTTGTTTTTGGTTTTGGTTTTTGTTGTTTTGTGTAGCCTTTCCAAGTAGCTTTGCAGGTAATTTTTTTGCTATTTTGCTCCTTTAATTTACATTTCCTCTTTGCATCAGGTTACACATGTGCATGTTCTAGAGTGATCAGTTATGCCTGAGAGAGATGTCTTTTTAAAACATGGGAAGCTGATTCAATTTGATTGAAAAAGTATGGTTGAACTTATTTTTCCATTGTCAAATACATCTCCTATATGTTGCAAGAGCAAATTTACTCTTAGACCATTTCAAATGCTACAAAAACATGCGATTTAACTGTATTGTTTTTCATAGTGTGTGCTTTTCCTGGGGGGGCTCCCTCTTCTCTTAGTCTATTTCCTTCTGTGAGCTTAGTTCAAGTTGCTCTAGGTCCCTGCCCATTACACTTCAAGTTTCTTCATTCCTCTCAGCTCTGCACTTGCAGATAGCTTTATGTCCAAAATAGTTTGTTGGAAATTCTGTGGATGAAGGGACCCACACTTGAATAAGAAAATTGGACAAATTTCACTGTACCTTCTCTTCCCAGATTTGTGGCAGGATGTTTTTATTTTTAATAATTAAATTTTATTAAGTACAGAAAAATGTTAAGTTGGGAAGTGGTAGGAAGAAAAAATCTTGGAATTGGATGAGTCTGCTGCGCCTTTGTTGAAATGTGTTAGCAAATACTCTCTAATAACTGTTTCAAATACACTAGAGGCTGTAAAATACTTTACCCAAAATGCCAGTAAACAGGCTTCATTATCCTGTAGTCAGTTTTTATGAGATGAAGGTATTCTGTATGATACGAATTTTGAGGATCTGATCAGCTACTGTTGAGATGTATCTTAATAAGATGAGCTTCACTAGGATGATCAAAAGAAAATCTTCTTTGCTCATTTTCAGCTCAGCCAAGGTGTTTGTGTTGACCATCATGGCTCTACTTGAGTCATGGCAGTTGAATATTTTAGGAGGATCTTCTGAAAATGGATTAGTACTCTTGTTTGTTAGTCAACAATTTTTAAATAAAATTGTCATGTTCAGCTTTTGATGAAATCTTTTTGTCATAGTTACATAAATATTAAACCAAAATTGCTTCATTTATAAAACTGATTAATTACGCTGATATTTAGTTTAATTTCATTAAACCAAAGAATCTAAGAAATAGATAAGATAGGAGCTTGGTAGCCAGGACAATTTTGAATAACTCTCTCCTGGTGGGAAACAAATTTCAGATTTTGAATAAAGAGGTGTACTGGTGCTTCTGCATGCAGAGAATATCAATAAGCTTTTAAAAAAAATAAATCCCTATTTGACCACAATGAAGCCTGACACTTATGTTCTTATTTCAAGAACATTTCTGTTAGACTGTGTCAGAAAAGGATTTTGATTCTGTGGAAGTTGCTTTTTCTTACTAATGATGGCATTATAAGAATAATTACTTTGCTAAAGACATACCAAAACAGTATGTACATTTAAGAACATTTTTGGCTTACTGTATTAATTCATATTTTTTGTTTTAAGCAGCATGTTGTTTAATATTCCAGCACATATCCTGTTGAACAAATAAATCCAGCACATATCCTGTTGAACAAATAACACAGAATGAAGATAATTCCCATCTAAAGGAGCTTAGTCTAAATGATACTGGTTTTCCATCTTATTTGCACTATTAAAATATGACAGTATTTTTTTGCTTATGCCTTCTAAAAACTAACCAGAGAGTTACATCACAGTGGACAATAGCTGAGAACAAAAATTAAACTGGCAAAAAAAAAAAAGGGAGAAATGAAAGCATGCAAAAAGTGTCTTTTCCAAGAGAGTATTCAATTAGCGTCTATCCTTAATGTTTCAACAACTGATCTTTATGAAATACTACAAGAAGGAGATGATGAGGTAAGTTATTTTAAGGACTTCAGTAAAAAAGGCATAGATGAGGAGATGCTGACTATATCCCTCCTTGAAGAAAAGGATTTGCAGGTAAAGACTGAAATTTCATTGTGCAAGATACAGTACAGAAATCAAGAAGGGTTTAATCTAAATGAAAAGGTCAGGTTAGAGATTTGTAAAGTGGCAAGACTTAGAGCATACATAAATATACACATAACTGCTTTGAGCATATGTATGTAGAGATATTATTCAGTATTTTCCTCTTTTGTGAGGCTATTTGGCAAGATTGTATGTTTTAAATAGACTTCAGCATTAAAGGAAACAGAATTAGAATGTATGTCTTGCTGTGCCAGATTGATTTTGTTGATACTTCCTCTCTGAATTGTGATACCTATTACAGGTATTTCTGGTAGACAGATGGTTTCTGGGTGAATTCATAGCCTTTTTTGTTGATTCTATCATACATTTTGCTATGAAATATTTGATAGTGTTTCATCAAATCACTCTATTAAATAGATGCAGTGATGGGATTTCTTATCCAGATTTGTTTAGTCCTGATCCAATAATATATGAAAATCCTGTGCAGGTACCTTAGCAAGTGTCTAGGAGCTGGCCATTATTGGCCTGTAAGGGTACTCTGGTGATGACTTAGATTTAGCCTTGTTGGAGCTTTATATTAAAGAGGCCACAAAAAGGAAGCTTTCCTGTTGGTGAAACAACTGTGCATGGTATGTATATGCACTGATAGGGATTACACTCATGAATACAAATAAAATGGGCTGATTCCTGCTTTGTTTACTAACATTTATACAACCCTATAAAGTGATTCACTTTGACAGAGCTGTTCCATGCTTATCTCATTCTCAGAGTAATTTCTACATCCTGTATCTTTTTTGTTATAGTCACTGTGAATATATGTGTAAAACACATAAACATACTTAACTATAAATATAAAACAAATTTGTTAGACAGGAGATGAATTTACACTACACATACACTACATATTCTATCTATCAGAGCATAGACTTAGGCACCTTTATCTAGAACTCATACAATTTAGACATAGATCACACATACACCAGTATATTCATATGAAAAGAACATGCTATGCACATTTCTAGAGGCATGCACAGACAAGGGTAGGTTTAAAAATTTAATAGAGCACTGATACTTGATGAGTATGCTTCAGATAACTAATTTTGCAAATGTGATTCCGACTTCCACATGCTCTATATTTAGTGTATACCCAGTTACACATTTCCTTTATTGCTCCTAATGTTTTTATGTTTTTAGGAAACAGCAGAAATGGAAAAATGGAATTTGAAAAAAATAAAAAATGGCTACAGCGCATACAGAAACTTCTTGAAGCACAGGTGCTCAATTTATATAATCCCACAATGAATTATAATTTTCTGCTCTGATTAGCTACAACATTTTAGGTTGTAATTAATACATTGTATTTGTAATTATGGTGCTGTTGATGGTCTCAAAGTATACTGTGATGAGCAATGTGAAATCCTTGTTTTGTAGCATTCCCTTTGTATTTCTCTTAAAATCAGAGTTACTGTGTAAAACTCAAGATATGTTAATCAAGGATTTGTGATAGCTAATTTAACAGCTAACTTAAGCTAACATAACCAGTAAAACAATGCTGGCGAAAACCAGCGCAGATTTTGGCAAATGTGTTAATTGAATTATTGAAACACTGTATAATGCTTGCTAGAGTGAAAATGATCTGTTCTCTCATGCCTCTTAGGAAAAAGAGACTTTTTTTAATGTGCCTTTAAAGTTACTAGTTGTTATGGACACCTGAGGAGTTCATGGGTTTCTGTGACCTTTTACTGTGGACCTGTTTCCAGTCAATTCATGTTTTCCTCATAGCCAGACAGCTGTTTATTATCGTGTCTTCTCGCATTCTCTACAATATTTTCTACTGAGACCTCGAGCAGCTTGTTAGTGGGAAGTAAATATTGATTTGGCATCCTGTCAATGCAGAAAGAATGAAAAAATTTCCACCAGAGGCCCCTCAAACATTTTCCTATCGACATTTTCTGGGCAGAGAGGAAAGCTGCATAGAGGATGACAAGTCTGAGACTAGCAGAAATCCCTGAGGGGTCCATTGAGACTGCTGCTGTGACCTGTGTGATACTTTTTCTTCTCTTTCAAGTCTTTTTTTTTAATACACACAGAGTCTGCTGGGATGCTCCCCTCTTGTAAGTGATCAAGGGCAGTTTATTGGCAGGTGAGAGCCCAGCTTTTCTACCCATAGTCAGCTTTTGTTTGGACATCACTGAAAACATACCCTGACTCTTAAAACTTTTCTGCTACATTTTTAGTTTTCTCTTTTATTTAAATGATGGGCAGTTGATGTCTGGGAAGAAATAACACTTGATTTGTAAATCCAGTGCATAATGCATATTCACTAGCATGGGTCCGTTAGTGATGTAGTTGGTATCAGTTAAGAATGCGAATGATTGAAAATATTTTGAAAGCCATTTTAAAGAAACACACACATCAGACTTATGTATTTAACCATCAGTAACTTTTGTGTTGAGATTGTATCCTGTGACCAGATTTTTAAAAAATGACAGGTTTTCCTTTCATTATCAAAACTTACTACCGTGAAGACTGCTTAATTGCTGCAGCAGAGGAAATAGAAATATCAGTGTGCTTTTACTGGCTTTGTCAAAAAAACTGGCATTTTAATTAAACCTCATAATGCTATGTGAAACTCAGCATTAAAAGCACAGTTATTTATATTCACTTTATTGCCTTCATTTTAAGAATTTAAAAAAATATATATAAACTTCAATATCCTGTTCATATTACAGGCTCCAAAACATGAATCAGATCCATGGAATACAATGAAGACTTCTTGTTCTGTTTTTCATTGTTATTTGGTAAATTGCTAAAAAATATGAAGCAGAATTTTATCACTTTTCTTCATCTGCTATAGACAGACAGCAAAAAGCAGGGGATGGAGAGTGAAGGAATTGTTGAATGAAACCAGGTATATTAAGATTGCAAATGTTATATAAGGATAGAAGACCTCATTGTTCTTAGCCACATACATTTGTGTACAAGTTAATAGCGATTTTCTGTGATTTTTGCTCCATCTTGTGGGGTTCCTCAGAAGAAACACTGAGGGTAGAAGTAATTTTTGGCAAGCAGACCATTTTTAGAATTGCAAGAGGGTTATAGTGGTTTTGGGGAGCAGCCAGCTCTGCTTTTCATTTCTGTCCATGCTAAGGCATGTAGATGGAAACAGTTAAGATTTCTTCATCTGTATTTGAAAGCGGCTCATGGAACAGCTCTGTGCCCTTTAAAATGCTTTACTCACATCCTGCAGAGTTTGGTTGTGGTTTCTTCTAGTAAGATTTGGTAATATTTCTGATCAGCAAACTAATAAAGCCCATGGTGAAATGTAAGCTTTCTGCAGGGTTTTGCTCATAACCAACTGCCTGCTAAGTGTTACATGTTGGCAAACTGTGCTAGCCATTTGCATCTTGAACAAAGATGCAGGATTGCTCTTTTCTGTTTTTCTGAGTAAACGTTCAGTGGAAAATTGCATCAGATCACTTAATATTGCAGTTTGATATAGTGTCTTTTTGTGCCATTGAGCCAGGACTTTGAAACATAATTGCCCAGCAGTATTGATTTAATTGCCTAGGTTTATTTGTGGACTCCTAATTATTGACTGGAGGTAAATTTAATGGAGAAACCTTTATGAACACTGGGAAACTGCTGCTATTGCTGTTATACATAATGAACTGCATCATATCCCTTTAGATCATTCTTCAAGCTAATTTTATTCTACTGTGACAGTACGATAACATTTAAAATGTCATAGACATTTTATTTTTATTACTGACATACACCATTTTACTGCTGCTCTAGAATTTTGGGGGGGGACTGAGTGAAGCACTCCTTGCTTTTTACTGTCATTTTATAGGTTCCCCTAAGTGTGATGATAAAGGATGCCACAAATCTGTTTTCACTTCATCTGTACCTTTATTTTCCATACTCTTATGACTTGGAAAAGTCTCATATCTGTCAGCTTTACAAGATTATTAATATTTTAGTGACAAATACTCTTGTGTTCCTGAAACTCACAGATACCAGTCTGTGTCCTTGTTTTATCAACTGCTATGTCAAGAAACCAGACTACTACTAAGAGGCTTATGATTTGAAAGAGACATCTCTGCATAGTGATGTTATTATGTAAACAAGAATCATATAATAGGAAAATGCAGTCATATTATAAACTCTGCAGAGCTGGTAAAAATTACTTCTTGTCTAAATCTACATCTTGAATGGCCAAGAAGTTTTTTTTCTATTGTCTCTGTATTTATACAGTAACACTCTAGATTGTTCTCACTAAAGAATGAAAGAATAAAAATAAATCATCTCAATAACTGACACTGGGATAAAAGTAAAAGGTTCTCTGGCCTGTGAAGAAGTTGTATGTGGAGAGTTTTCACACAACTGCACAAAAATACCTGATACCTGCACATGGGTAGAGGCATCAGACTAATTATACATAACTGGTTGGACTTGGGAGGAGTCTCAAGTTATAGATGTTTAAGCTTTTAGTGGTTTATATTATTTAGGGGGGAATAAGTATGGTTATCTCAACATGCATGTGTATTTACATCCTGTAAGGCAAGTGATGAGGCTTTTACCCCCTTTATCCCTCACATCTGAGTGTGTATGTCTTATTAATTGAGCCAGGCTCTTCATAGTAGCACTCTCTTCTTATAATCATAAACAATCCCCCTAAAACTCAAACAAAAGCAATCTTTCTAGCTTTTTCCCATCATAGGAAACTTATGGCTAAACCAAGAGGATGACTTCTTCTCATGTAACTTAAACATGATTTCTTATACTACCCTTGGCTTTCACTTACTGTGACTTATTGTAAGGCACACGGTCTCAGAAAAATCTGTTAATAATTTTGTGTGTGAGTACAGCATGGTAGCCCAGTATTCCACATTAATGCCTGAAGTCTCCAAGAATTATTTTTTAATAAAATACAAATCATCTGTCTAAGTTTTTACAGCAGCACTTGCCTTTCCTCCGTCTTCATACACTCCTTGGGATATGACATATCGCACTAACAAAGCTGCCTACTAAAATCTTTCCTCACATGACTTCATTATGGGTCTGAAAGTCATATTCCAATAGTTAAAACCTCTAGAAAGGCTCCCTTTTCCTCTATTCTGTCGACACTCTCTGTGAAACAGATCTCTAGAATAGGGTTTAGAACAATGTATTCACTAATCATCATTAAGGATTTTCCCCAATACCTTTTTAGGATTTGCACTGGCTTCTAAGGGCATGTTGCTGTTGCTGTCATCTGGGAAGGACATTAATGGCCACAGTTGTTTCCTTCCAAATTTCTTGGCTTGTAACTCGCCTGCTCTACCTTCATTAGTCTCTCTGCAGTCTGTGTGTGCTGTTCAACAGCTCAGATCCAGAAATGAGGATTCACCCATGTACAAACACCTGTGCACAATCAACACTGACACCATCACCAGGGCTTTCAAGTACCTGCACCTCAAAAAGCAGCACCAGTCTGAACCACATTCTGGGCACCAGTAGCACCGATACCAGGTCATGATTTGCTTCTCATTATGAGAATAAGAGCCTAGTCCTGTGCACTGACAATGCATTATGGCATAAATCTATGTTTTATCAGATGAAAAAACCTGAATACCTCTATTATATTACTCATCCTAAACTGAAAACAAGGAGAAATTGGCTTGGTCACTCATGATAAAAGGCATATATGTATTTATATAATGATGTATATGCAGCCACCATGAAGCAGAATAAGAGCAAAGAGTAAGACAACAACAATAAAGTGAAGCATTTCTCTCTCTTTTTTTTTTTTTAATTTTGACTTTATTTTTTCGTTATTTTAGGATATTTTAATTACTAGTTCTAGCGCCTAGTTTTATTTCATATTATTTTTTGTTGTTCACTTAATTCAATCTAAGGCAGCTCTGCAGTGTGTTTGAAGAGTATTTGTTGGGAAAAATGTATTGTACTGATGATCCATATGGGAAGGTGTAAAATAGTTGTAACCACTAATTTGTATATTCCAAAACCTAAATACTTTTACATTTATGCTAACACATTTTAGAGTTTGTGAAACAGAAGCCGAAGTTATGCTACACTCTGCAAATGGAGATTCTGTGTCTCATTAGAAAAAAAACATTGCCTTCCATTCATTATAATACTTTCCACTGGCAGACTGGTCTATATTTATGCACTTGTGCTGACAGAGACTAAGTCATGTGGTTTAAGGTCAATAAATATTACTAGTTTGTTTTTCTACAGAAGGGATCTCCAAAAGAAGAAAATTTAGAGTTGGAATAAATAGGTGAGAGAAGGAGAATTAACTGTCACTATTTCTGACTCTTTAGGATCACATTACCTTCCATTTATCCATACACCCAGATATCTGGCTGATGGGTTGTGTAAGCAATATGCCTTTCACTCATATGTGTTCCTACTATAAAGAAGAAATTTGTCAATCTGGGAAGTCAAATAAATAAAATTCTTCTATTCCAGATGTAGTTTGCACATTCAGATGTTGTGAAATCTTACAGATCAATTAAATACTAGTTCTGTTAAAGCCTACCATAATGTATGGATTGCGGATCACCACAATTAATGTTAAGTGGGTTGTGGCACAGATAATTGTAAAAAATCTGAAAGTATCATTCTGTACTAAAATATCTCACGATCAGTGGTAAAAACAAGCTTTCACTCCTTAGGCGTGCGCTTATCACTCCCTGAACTTGCAAAGCCTTCCCCAAGCACATATGGCAGGTTTTGAAGCTGGGATGAATGCTTTAGAGAAGAGATTACTTCAATGGTTGTGAAGATCTGGAGAGAAATGCAAAGGGAGGTTTCCCAGGATAGTTACAGACCCATCATTAAAAGTAAATCTGACAAGCTTCTATTAAAGATTAAGATTGTAGAGATCATCCAGTTCTGGGTGTCTGCAAGAAAAGAAAACCAGAGAGAAACATACAGCACTTTCTCTGAAACCAACAAATATTGAAAGAATGACATAATGTTCCACTTTCAAATCCTCTTGATTTAAATGAATCACTTCAATGGCAAGAGTTCCTGAAAGATCACTTTGCTATGACATGGGAGACACAGAGAGTAGTGAGCAGCAAGTAAAATGTACTTAGAACGATACAATCCAGAGACATCAATAAAAAGCCATTCATCTCAGGCATGGCATTAAGGAGGTGAAATGTATCAGAAATGGATGTAGTCAAGGTAGGCAAGAAGAATTAGAGACTTTGAGATAATGACACAGTGTTCTTGTCCTAAACATACCTAGAAAAAAAGGGAGAGAAATTAGAGTGAACAGGATGCTGGAGTCAGTGTTTTTAAAGCATAGTAGCAAGTGTCAGAGAATTTCAGAGAAGATTATGTTTTATATTAAACCAAATAGATTTGTGATCAGTGAATTTAAGCCCTCTATTCCCCAAAAAGTCATCACAATAGCACACAGGAGAAAGCTGGCAGGTGTAGGTGTCTTCTAGAAATGTCTTACTATACACATAAGTTATTTATGACAGATGGAGGCATGTCTGGCCAGCAAGCACCAGCCCTTGAAAATCCCCTTCCCTGTAGAAAAAGGAAATAATACATATTGTTGTCCTTTCTCTATAACTATAAAGTGACTGTTGAGCAGCACTTAGGATACTATTTTATCTCTTCACAGTACATGCCTTCTATTAACAATATTTTCCTTTTTTAGATGTTTTTTTTGACTTGTTAGCAATTATAAGTATCAGTATATAGATTTGTGTCTGTATATCAGTTCAAATGTTACATTTTGTATTTGATGTGCTGTATATCTGCATTTTTTATTTGTTTCTTTTATAATTTTCAATTCATGTCTATTTAGGAAACGAGCACTACTCTATCTGGAGTAAGGACCATACAATTTTCTCTTTCAGATGGCATAGAGAAGTGAAAAAATGAAACTAGAGCAGCAATACTGAAGTGTGGAACTAGACAGGAGATCTAGATGGAAAAGTGTTGTTTTGAACTAAAGTTGTGAAAAACAGAAAATGATGATTGGCCAGCAGCTTGTTTCACCAGCTACTACATTTTACCTTATTCATTTCTGGTGGCTTTATAATGTAAAATTATCTCTCCTCCTGAATGAGCTGTTACTTTTGGTGTAGTAGTGACCCCTCACTTACCACTGTCTCACCATGTGTCCAGGAAGCTGACAGAGTTCTGTGAAGTTGATAGAGACTTTTCAACAGTGTAGGGAAACTGTCCTGTTCTCCTCTGGCACAGCACTGGCCCCTCAGGATGGACCTGCCACGACCACTCTTCTGTACCACCTCTAAAAATGCTTCCCAGCAAACAGTGCACTGATATACCAAGACTTTGAAAGAAAACCTCTTTAAGCGTTAAAGTGATGACACTGAAAAATATACCAAATCTCCTTTGAAGGCATTGCTTGTGCAAATGCATCTTTTATATCAGAGAAGTTAAAAGAGGTTTTAATTTTTCTCTGTACATACGTCACTACAATTTTTTGGTATCATGTTTTAGAGAAGCAGACATTTGTGTCATATTCCAGTTAATGCAGTTGGAGGTTTGGGATTTTACTTTGCTTTGAGAGATTTTTTTGTGGTTTTGTTTGTTTTGTTTTGGGGTTTTGTTCTTGGTTTTTTGGGGTTTTTGTTGTTGTTTGTTGTTGTTGTTTAATTATTTACAAGGTTTTGTGTGTGAGTCTAAGGCAATTTGCTATAGCATTGAGAATTATACTGGTAGTTCTGTCTCATCCTCCTGAGAGTAGCAAACTTACACTCATACACTACCATTTCTGCATGCCCTAGAGGTGACTGTAACCTTTTATTGATCAGCTGATTGAAGATAAATGACAGAGATGCTGGTACTGCAGTTTACATCATTAACATGGTCAGTAAAGCATGAATTGTTCAATAAGGAGTTTATCTTTTTTCATTTTACACTGCTCTTTTATCATTTTTATGATAGAGAGCAAATTTTCAGACACTAACCAGGCAGATGAACTTTAAAGATCAGAAATGTGTGTGTGGTAGTTGTCAGAACTAAGTGAAATCTGATAGTTTAAAGATATTTTGTAAATGTATTTCACAAGAAAAAAAAAGTTTAATGATCATTTTTCCTACTCTATTTCTTTCTCAGTTTCCTTTTGCCTCATACTTAATGGATGCTGTACTGGAAAAATTAAATGAGAAGAAGAAATTGGTGGAAGAGTACAGTTCCCTCATGAACTGTATGATATTGCAAAGATTTATATTTGCAAAGTGTGACTAAATTGTGTGCTGTTTCCTCATGTCTTTCCTCTTCTCATAAAGAACTGTCAATATGCATGTTCAATACATGCACAGAAACCATGAACTAATTAATTGTTGAACAAGAAGAATTAATTAAATTCCTATTAGAAAGCAGTGTGGTATTTGATTCCTGAAGAGAAAAATTGCTGCAAATCAATGCAAAGCTCAAAATTGTTTGCCTTTAAATGCATTGGCAGTGAACACATGTGCAGGCTCTGTAGAGAGAGGATGTCTTTGTTATGACTAATACACATCTGTGCAATTTTGAAAGAACAAAAAGCAGCCAAGTAACACCTGATTGTACTAATCAGAACAGTAGAAGTAGGATTTACAAAGGAACTTATTCATTTTAGATTCCTTGTAAAGCCCAACTTTATGACATATGCTGCATAAAACTATATGCTTTTATGTTAGAAAAAATGAATTATTATAGAATAAAAATATTCTGTGTGGAGTAATACAGGAAAAACTGTACTTACCTCTGAGCATACTGGAGCAAAATGTGTGCAATGCATTTTAAAAATTCAAAAAAATAAAGTTTTTTCTATTATGGTTTTTTTCACTAGTAGATCCAGTTATTTCTCAGCTAGAAAGTAGGTGCAAGCTCTTACTTTCCTTGGGGAAGTAGTGTACAGTTTTAGCCAGTTATTTCCACCAAGATTTCTATGGCACTAGTGACGAATAATTGCTGCTGCTTCAGATTTTTGATTTTAGTGTTTGAATTCCTCTGGACGAACCTACCTTGTGTCTTTTAGGAAAAAAAAAGACACAATTTCTGAGTTCATGTGTAAATAATGTTCAGCCGTTATATTTGTCTCATTTATGGATGTCAAGTTGTTTTACAACAGATATCATTATCTGACCCGTATTGTGTGGGGAATCATAATAAAGATCTATTTGGACTAAGTTCACTTAAGTCAAGCATGAAACAGAGGTTTTCTGCATGTCAGTCCAGTGTTTTCCTAGGATGTCATCATGTATCTTCTAATTTATGGAGTTTGGTATTTGGGGTCTCTGACAAAACGAAGACATCTCTAAACTTTTGCTCAGTTGAGCCTGGTGAACACAGGGGCTTGAGGGAATTTTTATTGGAATTAGAGAAAATCATGCAAACATACTCCACCTACACCTGTAAATTAAGACTGGGAACTGTCCCTGTATGAAAAACTGCTGGAGCTCTAGGAATGGTTGATCAATATAAGAAATAAGGGCCATCATATGAAATTGTTTGGTGATACATTCAAGTAAGCCAAAGGATGCCACCCACACGCAAATGAAATGGAACAGTTGGAACTGTTTGCCTCGGGTTTTACGTGAACTAAACATTTACATAGGCTCCAATGCCAATAAAACAATGACAACAAAAATTAGGGAAGATAAATCCATCAAGACATGTGGAAACTGTGCTCGAATTTTGTTCAGTAATTCCAGCAAGATGTATTTGAACTTAATTTCATCAAAGTGTGTATTGCAGTTTAGTGAAAAGGGCTTCAGGAGGCCAATGATCTCTGAAAATTTTCCCCACTGTCTTCATTTCCACATTGCCAAACACCCATTGTTGCAAGTCTGCTCTTGGTGCTGATCTTTAACACTTGGTCTTTTGTCATAGTGAAAATGCAGGGAGCAGCAGCTAATTCATGTAGAAAATATGCCTCAGACAGAGGGAATTTTCCAGACTACTGTGTTTTTCTCAAATATCTTGCTTTACTGCACTTGAAATTTTCTGTATCTCCTGGGCAACTGGGTACAAAAAGACATCTTCTCTTGATGCCAGAGTAAGCAAGAGCACGGCATAACCAAATTGCTATTTACTTCATCTGAAAAGAGAGAGCAAAATGAAATCCTTAAATCCACCTGGAGACAGATTTATGCACACATGCTCCTGAAACTATAACATTGCTGTCTTTCTTAAAACTTTTCTGGAAAGTTTGCCAAATACCATTAAAATGCCTTTTAAAGATTAAGATTATATTTTCATTCCAAAATTATTTTCTTCTCTAATTTGACATAAACAAATGAAAACGGAAACACCAGTCTGTGGGAATCCACAAAATCAGAGGATTTGGGGAAAGCTGCAAAAGGCAGGCCTCAGAGACAGCAGAGATGTGACCGGAGCGAAGCAGTAGCCATGAGATAGATCAGCAGAAAAATTATTTACAAAGTAGAAAAGCAAGGACAAATAGAACAATGATCTGTGTATTAACCCCTGTCTAGAATAACTCCCTAAGCTACAGAAAAGTTTATCTAGCAAGATATTAGGAAGTTTTAAGCTTAATAATGGAGCTCTTGCATTGTGTTTTAAGGCTTATAAGCAGGTATTGTATTCAAAACAAGCAGGCATTGTTTTAACCAAAGGTACGTGTGCTCACAATGGTTGGATAGAACTACTGTCAATGTGCTTTTGCTTTGTGTGATTGGTCAAAAAACTTATAAAGTATGTTGTAACATTAAGTTCTTGGTCTGCTGCCTGGGATGTGAGCTGATGGCATCTTCCCATTGTCATAATCATGTAATGAGACTGATGCTGGAAAACAAAACAGCTCAAGGCACGTTCCTCAGCAGTCCTGTCCCATTTGTGATTTGCACATAAACCCCCAGCCAGCAATACCAGTCAACATTTTTCAGAAATAAAAATTCATGTAGATTGATAGATATTTGTAAGGAAAACAAAAAGGATGATACTTCAAAGAAAATAAATTTTTGCCTTTTGCTGACACAAATGTTAAATTCTGTCTGCGATGATCATACTTGTTTTTACTACTTATTTGATCTTTCTTGCACCAGCAGAGCAGGAGATGGTCTCTGAAAAGATCTTTATTGCAATAAAAAGATTAAGATTAATTATTTTGTTTCTATTTTATGAATATTTTTAAAATTTCCTTTCATTATAACCAAGCTCATTACACTGAGTGAAGAACTGATTCTGATTTGGGGAAAAGCTCAACACTTTCAGATGCTACTGCTAACAAAGCTAAACATTAAAGATATTAAAGGCATTCCTCTTTAGAACTAAATATGCCTACGGACATCCAGAAAATCCACTTAATCTGTTTTTTGTTTTGTTAAGGTGGTTTCCTCTCCCGGTGCTGCCTGATACGGCCTCTAGATGGCAAACTCTCCCAAAAAATGAGCTCAGTGCTTTGGACCCTGCCGCGCCCCCGATGCTGAGTCAGGCAGGCCCGTCCTTCGGGCAGCAGAGCTGACATCTGTGCGTGTGAAATTAATGGGGTCTTTACGGTCCTTGCGTACCGTGACACAAGGGTGAGGCCCTGAAACAATGCACCTTTTATATTCATACATATATAAAAAATTTGTATGTATATAGAAACACATATATATATATATGTATCTATATATATATCTATGTAGAAACACGTGAGTATGGCTCTGTGTGTGTGTGTGTGTGTGTGTGTGTTTATGCACACGTTCATTACATATGAAATAAACAAAGTTGTACGGTGGTTCGAACTTGTTTAAATGTTTAGTCCTTCCAAAAACTTTTATTGTGCACTAGCAGGTCCACAGGAGGGTGTGAGACACTGAAACATTAATGGTTAATGTCTCAGACAATCTGGGTGTTTTGCTGTCAATGCTCAAGAAGCAGCCTGTGTGCAGGGGGTGTGAGCACCAGATGACCACGACAAATCAACCTTTGCTTAGCAAGAAGCTGGGATTTCAGCTGGATAAGGGAGGAGGCTGATAAGCAGATCCTGCAAGGTGGGATAACGCTTTTAATTCTAGTACTGTCATCCCTTCTGATGGAGTGTAAATGACTCTATTATACTGATGTGAGAGACAGTGTCATAAACTATCAGAGACCCCCAGAATGTCCCCAGAGTAATTTCTGGGGCCTTCCAGCAGAGGAATGGGCATAATCCACAGTTTTACAATATGATTCACAGCATTGCATTAGACAGTGTGAAAGTCCCCACCCCAGGGAAAGTACCTGGGTGTTCCACCTGAACTTGAGTGTATATTAACCCACTGAAATTTGTGTTTTGTGGTCTTCCCCTACCGCAGATCAATGAAGACTGGCCATCACTTTGACAATGGACATCAAAATTGCAACATTGAAGTTTCATTGATGGATCCACAAGTGGTGATGTTTTTCTACCATTATCCTTTCTTTCTCTTTCTTTCCCTCTTTCTTCTCCTATTTTTTCTCAAAACATATTGCAAACCAGACTAAAAAATTCCAGTCAATGCCTTAGGAAGTGCCTTGTTGTGTCTGGATAGGTTGAAGTTGGCTAATTGTAAGTTTGCTAAGTTCAAGTTTATGAAGTGCCTTACTTACTTTGTTGGTATTTTAAAATTTGCCACATTGCCCAGAGTGAATTAAACAACATTCCCCTAAACCTGCTGAGGGGACAGGGACATAACTGAGAGCTGCAAAGATAATCTGGGGGCTGGAGCACCTTTCCTGTGAGAAGGACCAAGTTGGGGTGATTCGATGTGGAGAAGAGGAGGCTCTGGGGAAACTTTAGAGCAGCCTTCCAGTTCCTGAAGGGGACCAGCAAGGAGGCTGGAAAGAAAGGCTACGTTGTAGTAGTAGGACAAAGGGGAATGGCTTCAAGCTGAAGGAGAATGTGTAAAGGTGAGATACTAGGAGGAAGTTCTTTACTGTGAGGATGGTGAGGCACTGGCACAGGTTGCCCAGGGAAGTTCTGGATGAACACAATTCCACATCCCTGGAATTGTTCAAGGCCAGGCTGGATGAGGCTCTGAGCAACCTGTGGAAGGTGCCCCTGCACATGGCAGGAGGTTGGAATGATGATCTTTAAGGTCCCTTCCAACCCAAACCATTCTATGATTTTGTACTCTAAAATGTAAAAATTAAAGTCAAAGCATCTGCCAATAGTCACTTCTCACAGTATGTTTCTATAGTGCCATCTGTTTAACCCACACAAATCCTAATTTACCTTGACAGGAATAAAGATATGAGTCTTCCTAAATGCAGAACTCATACAAATGAGATCCATTTTCTTCTGTATGAGGATTCTTTGTTAGAAAAGGCACTGTGTGTATCTCCCCATGTGTCTCTGGACTTCCTCATTGTCTGAATGGTTTGCAACTTCCAAGGCTAGGTATTCTAAATGAGACTGAAGTGTAAGTGTAGGCTCTAACAAGAGGAGTTAAGGGAGAGATTTAAAATGTCTCAAAGCATTCATATAGCCACCATGTAATATCTCATTTTTTGTATTCTTGAAATAAAGAAATTTCAGTGAACAATTATTTTTTCTCTGTAGTGTCCATGTTCCCATACATAGAGTAAGGATCTATTTGTGAGGTTTCCTCAAATTTGTGATTTGAGAATTTGCAGTGTGTAACTATTTGAAATAACTTGTAGCATAGTAAGTGATTGAGAGAGCTGGGGACGCTTCTTGGCTCCTGTTATAATCACATACTTAGAAATTAATTAATTTGTGTTGCTGTGTCAATTTTTTGGCTTTTGTCTTCAGGATTGCAGAAAAGCTATGGAGGAAGGAAGGAAGGTCTGAATTTTGATTCTGTCATACCTTCAGTTAGGTTATTTCTCTTTTCTGTTTCACTTCTACAACTGAATTAATATCTAGCTACACTCCAGGCTAAACATCAGAACAAGGAAAACAAAAGCTAATTTCCATAGTTGTGTGCCATGGTACACAGTTTCTGCATCACCATTGGATTGCTCTATGTGATTTAAAATTGATATGTAACTATTATTTGTAGGGAATATAGCTCCAAATGGGTCCAGAGCCAGGTATGCAAAGGGCCCAGTTCTCTGAGGATATTTACTGAGTATCTTGGTTCTTAGGTGAAGATAGCAAGCTTTCTGATATAAGAAAACAAGTATTCACATCTTGCTCAGCTACATATAAGTCCAGCATTCTGTGAGGGTTACTTTACAGAACATTTAACAGGTTGGGGAAATGTAAGGCTCCTGTCTTTGTGAAAGAATAAGCTTATGGGATTAAGAGCCTACTTGGAAATCTCTATCAGACAGTATAAAGTAGAGGTTTAAGTGACTCTGAACTATTGAACCTATTGCAGATTTGACATTTTTCTGGTATAGGAAATCTCTCTTGTTAAAGGAATCACAAAACACTATCTATAATTCAACAAATCCTTCATTTTGAGGGATGACAGATTTCTTTCATGATTGTTTGTTGTGGAGGAAAACAGAACTTTTAGCATAAACCACTTAAATTTGTATTTAAAAACAGTACTCAGCCTGGGCTGAAGAAATTATGTGATAGAAAACCCACCAGAGTAGCTCTATGATCAAGAATTCTCACAGCTCAAGATTTCCCATTGACATTTTCTAGATTCAGTTTCAAAGCCTGGTATTTATGAGTGTCAAAAAAAAATCCCTCCACACTGGTAATGAAGGCTTTGAGCTAGACAGAACTTATGAGTCATGGTGTACATATGGGGACAAAGGGCATCAGTGGACCTCAAGCCTTAAAATGCATCTTTGACGTATCATTGCACATTGCTTATTCTGCAGAAAAACTTTTAAAAATATCTGTCAAGTAATAAACTCAGTATGTGATGATAATTATTGAAAAAGTACTATTTTCTTATTCTCTTTGATCTTTCTCTAGTTATACATGCACAGACTACATTTACCCTCTTAGCTACAACTCTACATTTGAAACTGGTTTTTTTTCAAGGGATTAGCCGTTATTCTATAAGGATTTTTTCTTCTATTGATAACCACACATCAGAAATAACTGCAGCCAACAGGAGCTCTAACTATAGCTTATCCATATGAAAATCAAGGTTTGAAGGTGTCAGTTGAAAATGTAATTATTTTATGCTAAAAATATTGATTTTTTTTATGATCTACCTTTTAAGAATGCAAATTGGAGAATAATGTTGACCTTCTAGAAAAGCTTGGGTGAATGGTTGGTTGAATGCTTATTTATGTAAATCACTATCTCTATTAAATTTAATTTGAGATGTTCATGTAATGAAGCTGCTGATTCTGAGCTTGTTTTTCAAATTAGAATTTTTAACTTTTGAAGAAAAGTAATACATGAAAAAGGAAATCAGTTGTTGTACTAGCCAAATATCACATATATCAGAAATTTTCTGATTTGGGGAGTGCAATTTTGTGTTCTCCATACTCCCAACCCTTGAGCATCTGGCTCAAGACAGGAATTTGTCTTGTCCATTTCTCTGTTTTCGTGCATGTTTACCCAGGCCTAAGAAGCCTGTGAGGCTGCCAGCTGGCACGGGAACTGGTGTGTTTAGAACAGGACAGTTTGATGTTCTGACACAGATACTGGATGAGCTGGGCTCACCCTTTGGCTCCCTGGGCCCTGAAATGTGCTTGCTCCAGGAGCACAGTCTGCTCCGGCGCCTGGATCCAGGATCTGTGTCAGCAGGCTTTTAGTGAGCATGCATTGAGTGACAGCCTGCAATCATCAGGCAACTGAAGTGTTGGCTCACGCCCAGCATCAGCCCAGGAAAGCCAACAGGAGACAGGACTGGAGGCAAGAATCCCTGGGGTATAGCTCAGCCTGGGCTGAGACACTTCCTCTTGCTTTTCCTGCAGAGCAGGTTTCACTTCCCACTTCAGCCCATCAGGCTGCTTCTCTCTGAGCTCTGCTTTGATTCCTTGCTCTCTCTTTGCTCATGCTCTGCTTCCAGTATGATTTTCCAAGCCTTCACAGTTATGATACCATGGCTGTAAGTTAAAGAATGTTTGTATGTCATTGTTGTGGCTATTGTTGCATTCATTTATTATTTTAGAAGAAATCTATATTTGATAAGAATGCCTGTGAAGTGTTAGTCTGAGCTAGAGCTCGTAAAAAAATCTAGTACATCAGTTCAACACTGACTGAAGATCATGATCTTTAAAGACAGCAAAATGAAGTAACATGGTCCCTTCCTCATGGAAGAGATTCCACGGTGTGTCAGTTCAAAGAGAAAATAAGCAGTGATAATTCTTTAAATATTTTGCCAATAAAATTCTCTCCTTCAGAGGAAGTTTTTAGTGGGGTTTTCTATGGAAGGAAGTGGCCACAGAGTAAGTTCTCAGCCTTCTAATATGGACACAGCCATTCCCTCCAGATAATACAGACTTCTCCTCCAAAAAATGAACGAACAGGGAGCACGTTGCTTGCAACTGATATGAGCTGCCACTAAGAGAAATAGGAGTCAAATGATCTTTTATTTTTTCAGGACACAGAATTTCTCAGATCACTGTGATTGTCTTCCTTTTCTATGTTTATCACGTTCAATTTTGCAATTGAATTTAAAAACTAATGCTTCTACAAGATTTTTCATTAGTGTGTATTGAACATATGTGCTATAAACTGGGAGAGGTAACTTAGAAACTGAAGTATTAAAGCATCAGATTCTTTTTTTAGGTAAATGACCTTGTATCTAACACTGGATGGCTCTGAAGTACACACTATGGAGCCAAGTAGGGTTCAGGAAGTGGCTAAGTTCCATTACAAAGCTTCATTCTGCATGGAACTAACTGGATAAGGAGTTTTCATGGTATTAACCTCTCTCAAAATAGTATCTCTTTAAGGTGCTATGCAAAGAGGATTTGTAAGTCATCTGTGAGGTCTGATTCAGAATTTATTCTGGCATTATGACAGAAACTTAGCAGGCACTTGATATAGCGACAATTTAAAAATTTACATTGAGACTTCAAGGCAGAGTGCAAACTCTGTCTTGACTCAGTGTGGGCTAAGTTTCTGTCTGGTTTCCTGTGAAGCTGTCTTACCTACTGACTGACATATGTGGTTTGCTGAGAGTTGAATATATGCCTTCTATTTAAGAGGGATATTTCAATGTTCATTAATATGAAAGATTTGCAATGATGCAATCCAGATGAGGACGTGACCTGAGAGTGTGCTGAATTTTGAGCACATTAGAAGTCCTCTAGAGGGTATTAAATATCCTCTTGCTTCAGAGCTGCCTGTGTGAGAAGGATGAAGAACGAAGAATGATGCTGCAATGCAAACATCAGATGCCTGTCTAGGTCTCTTTCCTGCCCTCTTCAATCTGTGCCCACTGTGTATTCTACAGAAGAAATGTCTTAAAACATTCCATTTTGGGGTGATTTTGAAGAAATCATTTTAAGTTTTCCATTTTTCTTATTCTTAGAATTTCTGTGTCTTCAGAAGTCTTGTGTCTAGCAGAGCAATAAAAGGGCAGGATCCCTCCTATTTTGTACTTGTCGAGTTCCTTGTCATTTGCTATGACACAAAGGCCATCTGCAGGAGCTGGGCTGAGTCTTTCACGTAACTCCCTTTAAAAAAAAAAAATCACAGTCATTCTTGGTATTGCAAGGAATACATGCATGTCCCTTGTTCTTTTTGAAACCATAATGATTAATTTTTAGCCTTGTCCTTAACCACATACTGTTAATTTTGATGCTTGTACTACCTTGGAATATGATCCTGTATTTTGTCAGAGATACATAAAGTATCAGAGACTGCTCAGTTCATACAAAAAAAATCATTTTCCTCAAACAAGCGTAGTGCAGTAATAATGTTAAGATTATAATTTTTATAGCCATCATTACCTGGATGAGGTCTTCCAGCTTCCTGTTTATGCAAAGCTTCTTTTGTAACAACTTTTCAGTGGCCTCCAAAACACCTTCTTAGTTATGACTTCTAAGTGGGGATGTTCTGTGTTGGTAACATAAACAAACCGAAGCCTAATTTTGCCACCATTTTCCACAAATTACTGAGATCAGTAAGATTTTATCTTGTGTGATGGAGACTGGCACATGGCAGCAGCATCTGGAACTGTACTAGCATCAGCATCTGGCTAGTAATTAATATTTAAACGCACTGATTAAAGCCAATACACAGATGTAAAGTAGCAGAAGGTCTAGTAGTGCTTATGTCTTACATCCAAAACCTGAAATTTGGCAATGGGACTACTGTGTCCATGTAGAGGTGTGGAATGAGCCAGTCATACTCCAAGACAGACATAAAAACCAGAGCTGTGTTTTCCAGCTTCGCACCACATGGACCTCAGATCATAATAAGATATGACAGCCTGTGGAGTTCCTCTTTCCATGCTGGGGCACCCACGCTGCTTTTCCTACATTTTAATTCTCCTGTCATGCTGCATTGTTGCAGGCTCCTGTGCTGGCAGGTTGTACATTAGATACCTGACCTAGAGGACTAGAGATTGCCTCGAATCTGTGATCAAAGAATTACAAGTTTATGCAGGTGTTAAGATAAGGATGGGAAAACTATCCAAGAGGGAGATAAACTTAGAAGCACTTTTTAGTAGTTAAGAACTTGTCTCTTACAAACAGTTCCAAGGAAAAAAGCACACAAATATAGAACATGGTTTTAAAATGTATATATTTATATAATTCATAAAGTGAGATGCAAACATGTCATAACATAATTTTTATATTATCCAGCAATAAATTCCGACATCAACGACTCATTCCTTCACTTCCTAGTCCTTCAAAACTTTTGAAAAGTTTTTTTGACAGTGACAAGTAATGGCTGTTAACTTTTAAGGTCTATTCTTCTGAAACGTGCCAACTGAAAAAACAATAGTGACTCATTGTTCTTGTGTGTGGTTCTTTGCTGCACAATATTTTTTGATAGTGTGTGAAATGCCACATACATAAATCAAAATAAATATGCCCCTCTTTATGCTCTTTTTGTATTTTGTATCTTATGTATTTTGAAGTCAAAAATCCTGAAACACTGCTAAAACCACAGTGACTTTCCTATGAATGAATAAAAAGTGTCTCACCTTTTCATCAGCTGCTGATGTTCCTAAGTAAACAATTACTTGGTCTAAAAGGAAATGTAGATGGATAGAAAAACAAGTCTTCCTTCTTGTGAAATATCCAATAGCATTTACTTCACAGGGGTTACACAGAAGTCTATCAAACCAGGGAAAGGAAAATAAATCAATTGTAATGTGTCTATAGATCGTGCCACAAAATAATCCTGATCGATGCTCATGAAATTTTCAGTGTAGTTCAACCCTGAGAAGCCTTAAATTGTTTCTGACATTGCAGTGGTTTATATATCATTTTTATTGGCTTAATGAAATATACATGTGTACATTCTTCCTTGCCTACCCTTGACTTTTCCTAATGAGCTCATCTTTTTGTAGCTTTCATTTGCCATAACAACCACCTTAAAGCAAAAGGAACAGCATAAATAACTTGCTAACTACTGGGAGTTAAACTTGATATTAAGATGTATTCTCAGTATTATATATATTCTAGACTTCGTACAGTTGCCCATTCAAGCTATCTGTCCTAACTCTGCTCATGAAAAAATCTGATTTCATTGATAAAAAAATTCTTACATAAAATTATTTGACTACAGTTATGTTTATCATCCATCTTATTATTTACTGCTTACTAGTATTTATATTAAAATTTTATGACCCACTGTAAACCCAAGAAAACAGTTAGCAAGAAGAGGTAATTTTTAATGAAGAACAGGACTAAGATTTAGGTGTTGATTCCTAATCAAACTCAAGGCACAGGATAAATGATCGTGTTTGTTTTGAATATGGGATAATGCTGAGATCTTTGAATTTAGGAAACCAAAAGCAGCAGTGTATACCTTGCTGGTTGATCAACCCACAGTGATGTTCATTTACAGCATGGTTTTCATACTAGAGGTAACAGAAGGGGAAAGTGCGAAGAACATAATTAGTTTATTTAAATTCTGATGGTATTGCTACATTAGGGTAAACTCATAATTGTATTTTATTTGCCTTCTTTATCATACTTTCTGTTTTGCTGTGACACTGTTTTTGCCTCCAGTGTCTGATGCATAAGTGCCACAATTATACAGCCTTTTCCATTGACAGAGCTCATCTGAGCACATATATGTGCAGTGAACATGCTTGGCTGATGTTTCTAAACTTACAAATTTTATTTCTTGGTTGATTATCTTGGTTAGTAAGAATTGAGAGAGAAAGAGGGAGCAAGAGGAAGTTACGGTATTTGATATTCCCAAGTCATTGCCAAATGTGATGGGGCCATGCTTTCCTGGGGATGACTGAATACCTGCCTACATGGGAAGTGGTGAATGAATTCCTGCTTTTGATTTGTTTGTGTGCACAGCTTTTGCTTTACCTATTAAACTGTTTTTGTCTCCAGCCATGACTTTTCTCACTTTTACTCTTCCAATTCTCTCCCTCATCCCCCCAGGGTGGCAGTGAATGAGCAGCAGCTTGGGACTCAGCTGCCCACCAGAGTTAAACTTGGCACCTGTCTTCTTCAGACATTGTTTCTTTTCAGATTGGACGCTCAGATAGAGAGTGCTGTGAACTCTTGCGTAGCTTCATTACAGGCTCTGACTTCCTGCCCCTGAGAGTCTCTTATTGTTCTGTCAGAAATTCATTGTGTTCACCTGCCTCACCTGATCCATGACGTCT